TGTGTAATAATTTTGCATGTAATTGGCCACTGGTAGTACTAGCGAGTTAATTGGTTTATTAGATGCATGTACACAGGGTTAAGCTTTTGATTTTGCCATTTTGTGTATGCTACTGTTTGGTCTTCCCATGGCATGGAATAGGCCACTGTTATCAATAGGGAAGAATAGTTCCATTGGTGCAACGTTAATTCACTGTATTTTCTAATTAATTTATTCATTTATGGTGTACCGGTTCATGCCTTGTATTTCTAGATTTACATGCTTCTAGTTCACATGCTTCTAGTTTACAATATAAATTACATGTTCATTCGGATTTAATTTTTAGTGTAATTTACGTTTCTAGCATATTTATTAGGTAGTAAATTTTCATGTAACTTGTACCTATTAATCTTTAATTTAGGTGTGGCCTTGTAAAGTTTATAACTTGCCTATATTTAAATTCATGTTAATCTTTCTAGAATTATTTGCATATTAATCATGTCATTTGCAATTCTTGCCTAGTAATGTGATTTAAGTATTTAGGAGTTATAAAATGTTTATAACTTGCCTCAGTTAATTACATGTTTATTATGTAATTAATTTTTTACAGTTTTTTTAGTTTAAATTCTAGATGTGTAACTTAAGGGTTGGTTTTAATCTTTACTTACAGTTATTTATTAGTTTGTTTGCTAGTACCCTCTCCTTCAATCACTACTTTGCCAAAAGCAAAGAAAAGCTGAGGGAGGTTTTATTGTATTTTGCTGCAAACTCTTTATTGCAGGAATACCTATGGAAATGGGAAAAAGGATTAATTTGGACTAAATATTTGAAGCAATTGTTTGCTTGAGTGTTCATTTGTGGTTATTTACCAATATGTAAAGCACGTTTTATTTGCTTGTAATTATTATAGCAATTTTGGTGTAATTGCTTGTACAATTTGAAACTTGGTGTGTTTAACCTAGTTCATCCCTTGGAAAATTTAATTCTTAAAGTTGTTTCCCATGAACTAGGAGTCAACATGTTCTTGAAAGTTTTGTCTAAGGTTAACTGGGTTTTAAGTGGGACCGGTGTGACCCCTCCAGTCTTCCTGGAAACTTTCCTGACCATGTTCGATTCTAGGTTGCGTGGTGAGACTAGTTTTGAATTAAATTTCCAATTGTGGGATTTTCTAGTGTTAAGTTTGATTTCTGGAAATACAGAATAGTAAAAATTCTGCTGTAATTTTTCAAAAATGGCAACTGTCTCTGATGCTGCTACTGCTGCTGCTAATGTTGGTGGGGATCCAAACCCCGGGGCGGACTGGCTTGCCACCCCTGCTTGACCTCTTGTGGTCAATCCTCCTGTTATTACTCCGGTTGTTCCGGGAGGACCGCTCAATCATCACGACGCCCGGAGAAGTTCACGGATGAATTTCAAGAGATGGCAGCAGAAGATGCTGTTTTATTTGACTACTCTAAGCCTTGCGAGGTTTCTGAGTAAGATGTACCAGCCGTAGAGGAGAATAAGCAAGATAAACAAAAGCTCATGGCTCTGGACGCTTGGAAACAAGCAGACTTCTTATGCCGGAATTACATTCTGAACGGGTTGGCGGATCCCCTTTTCAACGTGTTCTATGCCAGAAATCGGCTAAGGAGTTGTGGAGATGCCTTGGACAAAAGTAAAAGACCGAGGATGCTGGGTAAAGAAATTTATCGTCGACTGGTTCTGGACTTCAAGATGTGAACTCTAAAACTGTCCTGAGTCAAGTCCAAGAGTTCCAAGTGATTCTGCACGAGATACATGCAGAAGGATGGTCCTAAGTGAGTCATTCCAAGCAGCTGCTTTGATTGAGAAGCTGCCTAACGCTGGAAAGACTTCAAGAACACTTAAAGCACAAACGAAAGGAGATGACAGTCGAAGAGCTCGTTGTCAGGCTCCGGATTGAAGAGGACCACAGGAAGAAAGAAGGGAGTACTCCACTTCAAAGCCAACATGGAAGCATGGCGATGTCCTCGGGGCAAGGAAAAAACCACCGACAAGCAAAAGTTCAAAGTTGGGGGCTAGAGAGGAATCTCCAAAAGGCCAGCCTACAAGCCCAAATGAGCCTACTTTAGGTTCGATGGCAAATGCTTCAACTGTGGAAGTGATGGGCATCGGGCAGTTGATTGTTTGAAGAAGAAGCCCTACAGGAAAAACCCTCTCCAACACAAAAATCGAGCACATATGGCTGAAATGGAGGGATTGTCACACGATGTGGACGATATGCATCTGTGAACATGGTGGGGTCAAACCCGAGGGAGTGGTGGGTGGACACTGGGGCCACTCGCCATATTTGTGCAGAGAAGAGAATGTTCACAACTTTCGAACCGGTTTCAAACGGGGAGAAGTTGTTTATGGGAAACTCTGCAACCTCAGCTGTTGAGGGTAAATGCAAGGTGATCCTGAAGATGACTTCAGGAAAAGAACTGACTTTGAACGATGTCCTTTTTGTGCCGGACATTCGTAAGAAGCTTGTCTCGGGGTCTCTCCTAAGCAAGCATGGCTTCCGCATGGTGTTTGAATCAGACAAAGTCATATTGACCAAGGGCGGGGTCTATGTAGGGAAGGGATATATGTCAGGTGGTATGTTTAAATTGAATGTAATGACACTTATCCCTAAGATATGCTTCTTCTTCTGCTTATATGCTTGAGTCCCCTAATTTATGGCATGGTAGATTGGGTCATGTAAATTTTGACTCTTTACGTAGATTAATCAAGTTAGATCACATACCATCTTTCAAGGTTAATCCACAACACAAGTGTGAAACTTGTGTAGAAGCAAAATTGACAAGGTCTTCTTTTCATTCTATTGAAAGAAGTACCCAGCCTTTGGGTTTAGTGCATAGTGATGTGTGTGACTTGAAAGTTGTACAATCACGTGGTGGCAACAAGTACTTCATCACTTTTGTTGATGATTGCACTAAATACTGTTATGTGTATTTGCTTAAAAGCAAAGACGAGGCTATTGATAAATTTATTCTTTTTAAGAAAGAAGTTGAGAATCAATTAAGGCGGAAAATCAAGGCATTGAGAAGTGATCGTGGTGGTGAGTATGAATCCCCGTTTGCCGAGACTTGAGCTCAATTTGGGATTATTCACCAAACCACAGCGCCTTATTCGCCTCAGTCAAATGGTGTTGCTGAGCGGAAGAACAGGACGCTGAAAGAGATGATGAATGCAATGTTGATAAGTTCTGGGTTACCACAGAACTTATGGGGGGAAGCAATTTTCTCCGCAAATTATATTCTTAATAGAATACCACGGAAGAAAATGGACAAGACTCCATATGAGTTGTGGAAAGGTCATAAGCCTTCATATAAATACCTACGAATGTGGGGGTGTCTTGCAAAAGTGACGGTACCTACACCCAAGCGGGTTAGGATAGGTCCGAAAACCGTGGACATGATATGAAGACAAAAGAAGAATAACAGCGAAAAATCTAGATTTTATTCACCAAAACCTTCACCTGATATACCCCATTATATGTGCATATAGATAGTTATATTAAAACTTGTTCTCTGAGGAAGATATCCTAGAAAACTTTTCTCAACTAGTAATAGCTTCAGAACCAAGTGACTTCACCCTCAAGTAACCCTAATATGGTAATTACTTAGACCCTAACTAAAATCCATGGCCATTAGAAACAAATCCAGGGACACTAACCCAATCCTGGACTTGACAAAAATTGATTGGAAACCCTAAAACTTAAATATACTAAATTTAAATAAACCAGATTTTTTTTAAAGCCCAACAAGTCATCCTTTGTGGAAAAAAAAACCACTCCATCTTGAGCACATCATTTTGTGTCCATGGGGCTTCCCTCTCTAACCTTTTATTCTTATATGGGCTTTTGTTTTGCTTCTTTTAGAGTTGCCACAGTTTCTGTTTAATGCGGGGTTATGCCATGATGGGAAAGTCGTTGGTATCACGCAACCTAGACGTGTTGCAGCTGTTAGTGTTGCAAAACGGGTAGCTGAGGAATGTGGTGTTCAATTGGGCCAAAGAGTTGGGTATTCCATTAGATTTGATGATACGATTTCCAGGTCAACAAGGATTAAATACATGACAGATGGATTGCTTTTGAGGCAATAAGTATTCATGATTTAGTCATATTATGTTAATTGTTAAGTCACCAAAATGTTTCTATATTAAGTCTGTTTTAGTTTGGTTAGCATTTTCTGGAAAAATATTGCATATTTTTTGAAGCTTGTAGGTTTGTTGCTCCATTTAGATAGTCATGTCTAATGGGCAATAAAAATTATGTCACGGTTTTAAGCCTGAAACTTTTTCTTTGTGGTTAATTATTTGTTCTCTAATATTTTATCCCAGCCGGGAGGGTTAAGTTACATATTATGGGTTCAGTCTTCAGTGTAAGTGCCGAAGGATACCTCAGGCATCCAAGACATAGAGAAGATTTCAAGATGACCTTTTCTTCTCTGGGTTAAATGGATGTGAATACAAGTAGGGCAGCAGGTTTGAGAAAATAAGATAGTGACGGACTGAAGATTTTAGTACTATTGGAGCAATTGATGGATTTGTGGTGTTGAAAAATGGTATAGGAGGTCTGGATTATTTAAACTAAGGGCTGGTTTGGGGTGTCCTAAAAAAGTGCACTTTTTGTCTTTTTGGACTAAAAAAGTTGAGAAAAAAATATGGAGGTTTGGGTTAACTTTTTGGATTTTTATGAAAAAATGTGTATTAAAAAATTGTATAAAAAAAATGTGTAAGAGATGATTAGAGAGTGGTGGGCCCCAGCCGTACACAATGCAGCCGTGTATTGGGATTGGAAATTATTGGATAATTTTTGTAGAAAGCATTGGACGTTTTTGTTTGGCCCGTGGGGGTCATCACGGGTCCCATTTTAATAATCTGAACCGTTCAATGTGTGTAACTCGTCGAACACTATGTACCTACAAAAAATTATGTTAATCGGATATCGATAGCTATCTGATTAGATTTATTTATTTTTCAATCATTAATTATAACACTATCCATTTGTTGTACATAACTGATTTGATCATATAGTTTTCGATATCCGATTAATGTGATTTTTGGCAGACATATATTACTCGACGATTTCTACATATTGAACGGTTCAGATTATCAAAACGGGACCCCTGATGGCCCCATGGGACGAACAACGGTGTGTATAAAAATCACACCCAATCATTTCTTTTGTTCTGCACTGCCGCACACAGCCGCTGCCTCTGTGTCAATTCCGTGCGTACCTGTGTTGAAAGAAATTAATTTTTTAATTTTTTTTTTTGGATGAATAGTGATATCTTTTTGGATTTTGGAGTAACTTTTTGACTTTTTGGCTGATTCAGGTTACCCCAAACCAGCCCTAAATTGCCATCAATCAAACGAATTAAAAATTAGACCCCAGGGAGGACAAAGGTTGGAAGTCATACAATTTGACCACACCCGTTCAAACAAAGTTGAAGGACAATGCCATACATAAAACCGACAATAACAGATGAAAAATAATTAGGAAACCTACAACATCAGCAGTTAAACCATTCTTGAAATCCACAGCGCAAGAATGCCTTCTTGCACATAGAAGAACAGCATAGCAGCAACCTTTTTTTATATGGGTGGAAGTATACCAAAGGAAAATGTGGCATAATTGGATTCATCAACTGCAGTATGCAGCACAAATGATCATGTTACCATGTGATGACATTCTAATGATGTCAAAAATGGAAGAAACTAATTTTAAGATTACAACTATTTAACTAGCTTTTCTTTTTCACAATACTCAGGTATGATAAGCAATACTTATACATACACACACACACAAAAATAGAAAAGAAAAAAAACAGTACGGAAAATAAATCCCACTGAACTTTAGATTCCTCATAGTAAGAAACAAGAAGCATATTTAGCTAAATTTCTGGTTTGCAACAAGGCATTGGAAGTTTAATATGTTATTCTCAGCAACAATGATAGAGAGCTCTAGTGATGTGACAATAGATAATAATAAAAAAAAACAAAAACAAAACATAGGCACACACATCACATCACATGTGGACCCCACTCTTTGCCACATCACTAGAGCTCTCTTTAGAGCTCCAAAATTAGAGCTCTCAAGCTTTATTCTATGCTCAGTGAAGAAGGGTAAACAGAGTGACAATTTATACTGTGTCAACTGTCAACTATCCATGAGCATTATGAACACATCACTACAAAAGCAGCACAAATGAAATTATAATGAAAGATGCAGCAAAGATGTCTCAACAATAGTGAATGACATTATACTAATAAGAACTGTATCAACTGTAAAATGCAAAACAATATCCTGACAATTACTAACACAAATAAGGACTCTCTCTCTCTCTCTCTCTCACACACACACATACACACACACATGCGCGTGCGCACACAGAGAACTTCTCCTAATCTATAAATCTATAAATCTTATAACCACAGGAGAACAATTGTAAAAACAGCATAAGAAAACTAACCGTTTGCCATGTCAATGGACTCCACGTGCTCGTGTAACTCATCTAACAAATCTGCAAGAATGCAACACAGCTCAGAAAATAAAATATATTATGAGCCCAAAATCAATCAAACGCACATTCACACACACCAACTCAGAGTTAAGAATCTGAGAGCCCTCTCATAATACCTTCGATGTCGACAGCAGTAACTCCTTGAGCCTCTAGGACTTGCTTAGGAGTTTGCATAACAAGAGTTATGTCTTTCATTCGCTTGGTAACATCCACAGTTTGGGCCTGCATAGCTTCCGTGAACCATCTTCGGTCCTCCTCACTAATAAAATACCAAAAGAAAAAAAAAAAAACTACAGTTAATTTGGAACCCTCCATTGCCAGTAGTGCCAAGTTATCTTGCTTGTCAATACGATCTTTTTTTTTTTGGGGGGGGGGGGGGGTCATCTATGGTTGTTTCAAGATTTCAAAGCCAATTGCTTGTTCCATGCTTCTAACATAGAAGAGGCCCAAGTAATTGGTTGTGATCACAATTCACGACACAGAAAGCTTGATTTTCAAAATCCAAGCTTCAACTATATTTTGATTGAAAACTGCCTTTCCTTTTTTGGCGGCTTCATTCACCTTGCATCAATTGTATCCAATCCCATCTGATACCAAATTATACAAAAACCCTTCTAAGTAAAACTCGCATTGAAAACCCAGTTGCAATGGGAGAATGCCCAAAAGCTTATATGCACGTGACCAAGCTCATTTTTAACAGATGTGCGATAATTAGGATTTTAAACATTTCAACAGAAAATGGTTTAGTTCACATACTTTCAAAATGTGTGAACAAAATACAACTTCCAATTGATCCAAAACAGTTGACCCCATACCAAGGGCTTCTAGCCCTACGACGAGACCTCGGATCAACCAATAGGGTGACAGCAAATCGGACTCGAATTAAAAATTACTCACAGAGAACAACAACTCAGAGATAAAAGACCCAACTCTGACTTGTATAGCAAGAATAGAGCAACACATATTATTATTGCACAACCAAATCAAGCAACAGCCAGGGAAATCAATGAGGAATACACACTATGAAGCCAAATCTTAATACATTAATAGACCTTATCAGTATTTGGATACCTATGTTTGAGTATACATGTATATATAGAGAGAGAACGAAGAGAGAGGAGGAGGAGGAAAAGGGTACCTCAAATTTCGAGGAGGGCGAGTTCCATCGGAGTGAGAAAGGCTCCACTTGAGCAATCCGTCCCAATTGGCTCCTTCTTCTTTTGCCATTATCAGATAATAGAGAAAAAACACAAAAAGAAGAAAGAAGCCCTAATTTTAATTTCTGCAAACAAGAACAATGAAGAACAACAATGGCGGATAACTGACGTGAAGAGAGAAGAGAGTAACGTGACTCACGGTGGTCCGGGTCGGGTTTGGGCCGGGCCAACCTTTTACTTTGTGTGTGCTCAAGTCTGATCTCGTCCTAACCTTGCTTGCATCTTTATATTTGTTCCGATTTAAAAAATAATTATAAATTTTAAATGAACTTGTCGGATTATATGTTAAAAATATTTTATAATTAAATTTAAATACATATTATATTTTTTTTAAATAAATATATTAATATTATTATAAATTAAAAGATTTTGTATAGAAATTAAAAAATTTCTTAAATAAATTCAATCGCGTATCATCATAAATATGAATTTTAATAAAATCCATAAAGAAAAGTTTAGATCTCAATAAAAATTTAATGTATTGTAATAATTAATTAATTTAATAGCAGGTCGGGATAGATTGAATGTATAAATTCCAAACTCAACCCATTAATATTTTGGATTTAAAATATTGGTCCAACTCGACCTTTATCGATTAAAATAATCTTCTCAAACCCTAAAAAAAATAGTATTAGACTGAGCAGATTAGACGAGTCAACGAGCTGATATCCACCCATACATGACGGTGAAGTTGGTTGGGGCATCGAATTGGGCTGGGTTTGGTTCAGTCCTAATTGGGCTTTGGCCCATTGATATCACTTGGGCATAGAAGGCCGGGCCTGGTTCAGAGTACATAATAATAAGGGTAAATTACACTCACCTTTTCTAATGTGAAAAATACAATTAATTTTATATTTTTAATATAATTATACTAATATTTTTTTTATAAGGTTAAATCGATTAAAACTAATACATATAGTGAAATAAATAAAAATAAATATATATTTCAGTACAGAAGTGATGACAAATAAAAAAAAATAATAATAAATCTACGACTAATGCATTATAATGAAAAGAAACTTATTTAAATTAAAACCTTGAGGCTATGTTTGGAGCATAGATCAGGATAGGAATTTAAAAAGAGAACTAGAAAAAATAAATGAAATGTCAATGTAAATGCAGCCTAAGAAATGTCAATGTTATTATTGTAAAAAATATAAAATTACTTATATTTTTACCAAATCTCAAGGGAGTAGTTGTAATTTACCCTAATAATAAAGAATTGTCCATTTGTCCATTAAGTTTTTATTTATTTATTTATGTATTAACTTTTGTTTTTGTTTTTAGGGGAAAAAAATAAAAAAGTATCCAATTATTTTTTTATTTTTATTTTTTTTTTTTTTAATGAATGTTAATTTATGTAGATTTATATTTTCTGAATTTCTATATGGGTAGTTGAGCTTGTCTCATAATCGTCATCTCAATTTGAAAGAGCATTTGAGTTTAGTAGATCAATTTTGAAATCAATTTTGGTGATTCGAATCGTTCAATTTTAAGACTCATTAATAAAATATTTATACCAAAAAACAAAATGATCAGATATCGGTAATTATGTATTTGAATCATATTTATTTTAAAAAAATGGTCAACAAATTTTTTTTTTTAAAAAACAAATATGATTCAAATATATAGTTATTGATATGTAAGTCTCTTATTTTTTGTACGAATATTTTACCCAATAAATTATAAAAAGTAAATGATTTAAATTATCAAAATCAATTTCAAAATAAATCCAAATACTGCCTTAACTTGAGATTAACAAAATAATAATAATAATTAATAGAGTGAATAGCCAAACTTCTACAGATTGTTGTGTACAGAAAATATGAGAAAAGCTAATACAAATTGTTAATTATTATTTTCAGTAAAGCGATGTGCGTCCAAAATAGTCTAGTACTCAAGTATGATTAAATTAATGACAATAACTGGACAGTTCACTGCTGGAAAAATGACTTTTAGCGGCGTTTTAAAAACGCCGCTATATGTATGAAAAACGCCGCTAATTCCTTTAGTGACGCTTATCACCAAACGTCGAGGACGCGGCCGTCGCTATAAGTTTATGACGCTTTAAAAACGTCGTAAAATTAGTATAGGCGGCGTTTTTAAAAACGCCGCTAAATGCGATAAATAATGATAAAATGACGTCATCCAATATTTAGCGACGTTTTTAAAACGCCGTGATAGATTTTTTTATTTTAAAAAAAATGTCCGTTGGCACTGTAGTGGCGTTTTGAAAAAACGCCGTTATAGCTCTTTTTTTAAAAAAAAAATTGTTCTGAATCTGTTATATTTAACTAAAAAACATACCTGTAATAAAGCTGAAAAATAACAATAATATGAATAAAATTTTACAGCTACTTCAATATATTGACTAAATAAACATTACATGTTTGATGGTTTCCATAACGATTCCCCTTGCAGTAGAAATTTTCTTCCTCCTCTTGATGATTTCAATCGAACAAACAATTTCCCAAATATCCCATTAAACAACTTCCCACATCATCATCTAGCTTTGAGTCAATCAAAAGAACAAAACTAGAGTAATGCACACCAGGTATATTACAAGTAAAATGTATTCTATAAGCTTGAAAAACAGTGCCATCGGGTTTTAATCCCCATGTTCCAGAGAGTGCATGGACACAGGTTGTCCCATGCAATTCCTTCCTTTTTGTTGTTCCTAAAGACAACACAAAGAAACACAAAATAGCTTTAACACACAAGATGATAAACATATTAGCAAAGATAGATAACTAAAAGCTCAACAGCCCAGCCTAAGCGTACATATGGGCTATCATCCAAGGTGCAATTTTTTTAAAAACCAGTAAACACCCTGCAAACAGCATTGAAATTGAGAAGAAAACCAAAACAAACTGAATGGTGTAACAACTTGCAAAGGCATCAACCATTACTAATGCTATCTACTCTAGGGTATGGAGGATGTAGCATCAACGCTTTATCATGTCTGTACATATACTAGCAAGTACAAGCAGATGGAGGTGTAGTTGAACTTTATTGTTTTGAATTGAAATGCTAGCTAACAGTTTGCTAACCAGCACTAACATCTCACTAGATTTTTCTATTACTGCTCAACTATCTACTAGAGTCAGATTTTGACATACTAGTGCATGTCAGTGCTCGATTTTACAAGCCATGTCATTAGTGGTGGATATGTAAAATGAAGTGATATGTGATGCACATTTAGTAATTACTATGATGCAGAAAGAACGACATCAAGCTTGAATTCTAGAAAAGAATTCAGTTGTACTTTCGTGTATCATCTATAATCCCTAGGGTTCTTCAGTTGCAAAAATTGTCAAATTTATTCTATTTAGGCTTAAATTATGACTCCTAAGCAAATGAAAATGAGATTTTCAAAGAAGGCCCAAGTTTCTAAAGTTATGAAGCACCTAGAATATAATCACTTTTGTCAAAATGTAAATTTAAATATAAAAGATACCTGCACTTGAAGTTGATCCTTTGCGCTCTTTAAAGTGGAATCATTTACTGAAGGCTCTTCATTAAAAGGAAGAAGATGATCATTAAGAGCACCCATCTGATGTAAGCAGAAAGTAGTGCAATACATAGAGGTTCTCTGTCCTCGAAACAAAATAAAAAATAAATGACTTCTACCAATGGATCAATATCTGGAAAAATTATTAACAGATCACAATTGCCCTTCAAACACAGCTTATAAAGAATTTTCCATTTTTATTGTCCACCTATCATTTTCCAGTAATTCTTACCTCTATTGTAAACAATTTTATCGACATAACATTTCTTTTATATGGTTGTTTAATCATGTCTTAAATGAGCTTTTATGAAAATTGAATTGTGATTTAAAAAATAAAAATAAAAAACACACAAAAATATGATATGCCAACACCGTAAATCATAGTGTAATCCAGAAATTACTGCAGTCTGGGTTTCTTCCAACTTCAAGATTTCAGGACCCAAAATTTTAAGATCATACTTCCAATTTCATGATTAGACATACGAGCACAAACAAAGATTGCATTTTTCATTCAAATGTAGGCATTGTCGCAACCATCACAAAATTGTGACACATTCTTTTGAAAGGTATTAGGCGATGAAATCTGTGAAATTAAGAGCCGTCTTTGCAAGTATTTTGTTTTAAAATGAATGATCTTGATTCATCCGGATCATTTTGTAGAAAATTCTAAGGAGGGTCTGATTTTCTCTTTTGGAATCATAATGTAAATCAAGAACTTTTAAAACCATAACCAAACAAAGTTTTCAAAATTCAATTCCAAAATTCTTTTCAAAACTTATAACCAAACTCATTTCAAAATTCTATTTTAAAAATAAAAAATTCAAAAAAATAATTTTTTTATTTTGTTCTTTAAAATTATTTTTTATCTTTATAATTTTTTCGAAAAAAATATTTTGTTAAAATGCAAGATGAATCTTTAAGACAAATCAAACCAGAATTCATGGTTGAGGCCAGAAATTCACAGACGCAATCTCAAACATAATCACAATAAACCATAGATAATCATCCCATTCCAATAAACAATGATCATGTCTTTAACTCTAGTACATCTGATCCAAGCACATAGAATTCATAAAGGATGCAACAATACTAGTAGAAAAACAACTACCAATGTTGGTCATAATTATCTTTCATAATTTTTTTCCAACGCGAAGTTACCATGAAGAAACACAGAAGAAGTTTCACAACATCAAGCAGAAGCAGTAGCTTCTTCCAGCAACTGTTTCACCTTAGTGATATAGTCACTCATTGCTAAACTTTCTAGTGTCAACATATACAGTGTGATGTGCGTTCCTGACTCATATCAAAGGTAACTCAAGTGCGTGTACGAGAGCAATAGACAGAAGAAATTAAATTCCTAAACAACAGACTTCATAAATTCTTTTTAGTGTACCAAAGAGTTGTCACAGCCTAAATTTTGGCTTCTCTTTGACTAGTAAACATGTAACTTACCCTCCAATCTGAGGGGTAATAGTATGAATAGCCATCTGATTTGTTGACAAAAGCTTCATAGTTTTGTGGTATTTCTATGCAGAAAAAAAAAGAAAAAAAAAAGGCCCAATTACCACACATTAATGTAGTATTTCTAAAAAACAAAAATTATGCATAGGATTGTAAGATAACATAAGCGAAATGCCATTCTTCATGAAAATAATGTAATCATAAGAGCTTGGAGAAATGCATTAACACAAACACCTCCATCTCAATTCAAACTAATTGGATGGGTAGTTTATGATTTGAAGGGAGAATAAAGCACTCTCTCTCTCTCTCTCAACAAGGCTAGGGGGGTCAAGCATTCGACTCTCCAGTTGTCTTTCCTGTGTTGTTGGCTTTGTTATGTGCATATGACAATGTGTTGGACTTTTTTTTTTTTTTTCGTAGTTGAATGAATGTCCTATTTGTATTATCCTACAAATTGACAACAAAAAAACAAAAGGAAAAAAATTAAAAAACCATTACACCTTCAGCAATGAGTGAACTTGCAGGGCATGAACTCAAAGCTAATGCTCCTACTCCCAACAGTATTGCCCTTCTCTTAGAATTTCCTGAAATTTACCATTATATAATCCAAAACAAGAATCAAAACAATCATATCTCACAAGAAGTTAGTTTATACATTCCACCTTTGGCATAACCAGCAATTTTGCATCAAATTTACAGCCCTAATTTCAGAATTCACAAGACCAGAAGAATTTGTTATGAAGTAAATTCTTCAAGAAATCATTATTACATCAAAGACATATAAGCAAATCCCATGTCACTCATACAAAACAAGAAGTAAAATACTTGAGCTATGTTTGGATATTGGATATGTGAAGGGATTTGTAGGGAGAAGAAAAAGTGAAGAGATAAAGAGTGGTAATCTTACTGTCTTCATCATAAGTTGTGTCTCCTGAACATGTGATAATGTTTTGTGGAAAAATTGCAGTAACCCTAGTTCAACTGTATGAATGGGGCACATTGAACTGAAAATTGTGAAACATTGTATATAATTATATATCAAATTCACATACATATATTTATATTGAATGAAATTCACATATAGAGCAATTAGGCTGACCCTATTGGAGGAGGATGATGATGATGGGGCCAAGGTCATTGAGAGTGATGAAACTGCCATGTCTGACTCTAAGAAGCTGCTCTTGACTTGCTTTTAGTTTGATTAATTTGAAGTGGGTAATGCAAGGATAGTAGAGTTTCACTTGCTTACTGGTCAGAGGCTGACAAAGTTTATTTTTTGCAGCCCCAAAAATTGGATAAGAAGCTTTTTTGGACGAGAGGGATGGATGGGGTTTTACACGTGCGTGGCACGTGACTCAAAATTGTTTGATAGAATTAGGACCATGTAAAATACCGCTCAGTCTATTAAAATCGCGTTGATCCATATCAATTCGCACCACTCTATACGCTAACCACGGTTTTAATTTTAAAATTTATAATCTGATTTCTAAGTCACTCCGCTTTTCTATGTTAACACATATATATTTTAAAAGGTAAATTACAAATACGGGTGCCTCTATTTACACACCTTTTATTTTGCTCTGATTCAAAATAAGGTTTTCACAGAAAGGGGCGCGTGTGGGTCACCACATTCGGAGGCGTTTTTAAACGCCTCCCATTATAAAACGGTGTCGTTTTGTTTAATAGAATATGCAGCGTTTTTAAAACGCCGTTAAATACTAATAACTGTGACGTTTACAGAAACGTCGTTAAAAAAACGCCACCAAATCGCCTTTTTCCTGTAGTGGTTTGAGTATGACTTATTTAATTATTGTTAAATTTTTTATAAAAAAAAATAAAGAGATGATGTGATAATTTATTACAAATAAGTAAATAAAAAAAATTATGGTATAAGGATGTGTACTATATGCACCTTGTAACTATATGGTTCAAGCCCTCTTTCAATTAGAGGACTCTTACCATTGGACTTAATCGGTTAAAAGACTAATCGATAATGTAAAATGAGTAAACAAAATGAACAAAGTAAAAGAGTCAAGATAAGCATCTTTGTGTTGCATTGCATGTGTTCGGATCGGACGTTAATCCGAACACGAGAAAAATGGGATGTTTCATACTCAAAGTGATTAAATGCGTCGTTTTTCTTAGTCACCATCACCCTTGATCATGCATGATAGGGTGGTGGTTGTCTTGGTCTTGTTTCCGCATTCATTGACCTTGTACAAGCTTGGTTCTCTAGCCATCATGCATTGAACATGCTTGGTTGGTGGTTTTGGAGCCAAGAATTACACTCCTTTGACCTTGTGTAATGATAAGGAGGTTAATAGTACATATATTGCTTGAGAATACACTGCTTTGCCTCTGTTTGCTCTCTGTTGCAGCAAAACGGAGAATTCTAAGGAAGGGGTGGCCGACCAGCCACCAGCAGTGGCCGACAACCACCAATAGTGGCCGATCGGCCATCAGTGGTGGCCAACAGCCACCTTTTGTGGTCGACCGGCCATCAATGAAAAGTTTGTTCAGTGTATTCCTAAGGTGGAGTAGAGGTGCTCTAGAAGTTGGTGCAATTTTCAGAGATCAACAAGTGCAAACAGAGGCATCCAAAGGCAAGGTGGTGGATTTTCGGGAGGAAACCGACCGAGCATGTATGCGTCCCTCGCCCTCGAGGCCATTCAATTGCTTTAATTTGTTAGCGTAGCTAATTATTCAATTCAAGTTTTGTACTTAATGAGTTTGTGTAACTAGTTCTTCAATTTGTTGTAATTAATTAGCTTAGAATAAGTTAGTTAATTAGTTTCGATTATTATAATAATTAGTTAACTAGAATAGTTAATATTTTGGTTTGTAACAATTAGCTTAGCTTAGTGTAGATTAGCTTATTCATTCGGACCCTCCTTCACGAGGGCACAATGTTATAATAAGTGTGCGTGTGTGTGTGAATGTCTTCCAACCCCACGTCTTTCTCCCTTTTACTTAACCGCTTTCTATGGTTAGATTAGGGTGATTTTCAATTAGCATACCTTATGCTCGCATGTTTGCATCATTCATTTGTCTTGCATGCACCGAGGCTTGGCGCATCATTCAAATTGCATTGCAATTTCAATACTTCTTTGAATACGTGTTTCAAAGCATGTTATTGAATTGTATCATATGCCATGTTACTAGCCGAGCCTATTAATTTCATATTGCATGTGTTGCATTAGGCATCTTGTATAGTTAGGAGCATGCATTCTTTCTAACTAGTTTTTGTTTTGGCTTGGAGTACTTGGTGAGTTTTATGCTTTAACATACTTGCATAAGTGTGATTGCCATATTGCTATGTATAGCATGCTTTCCATGAGGCTATGTGCTTAAATGATAAACTGCATGAATGCCTGTGGATGAAGGCTTCGTTGTTTGAATTGGAACAATTCGATGAATGAGAGTTTTAAGCCCACTTTGCGAAGTGGCAAATCATGTTTTAAGCCCACTTAAGGTGGAAAATCCCCATTTCTAAGCCCACTTGAGGGTGGCAAATTCAAATCATTTTCGAAAACAAACACGAGTTGATTTGTTCCAAGTCTTGTAACTCAGTCTATACTTGCTCGCGCACGTGTCATGTAGTAAAGTTAGCTAAATAACTGGATAAGAATACATGAGGTTTATAAAACAACATATCATGGTTAGTAGAGGCCAATCCTTTGATCGGGCGAGCGGGGGTGCTCATTTCATGACCTTCCCCCCCTTGTACCCAAGTTTCCGAGTCGAGGTAACTTTAGTGATGACGGACACGTGGCCTTTGGCACGAGTCAAGGTCTCCTAAATTTTCCTAAAACAAAATATTTAGGTGGCGACTCTGTAATTTGGAAAAGCAGTCCATTTTTGGCACTTTTGATTCAAATCAATTTTCCAAAATGATTTGCCGGATTTGGACTCTTTTGTGTTTATCAGTCTCACATTGCACTTTGTGAGGTTAGATTCAGAACCGTGACAGGAGTCCGAATTGTAGGACCAATTCGAAACTCTCTGAAAGGGGGGCGCGAAAAAGTCGAGCTATTGTTTCTGGCGACTCCGTTGGGGATTGAGAGAATTTAACTCGAATTCATGATATGTTGTTTTATTTACACTTATGTGTTTCTTTACATTGCATTTGCATTGGTGCGACTAAGTCACAATGTTTGCCATCTGCTATTCCTGGACGGTTTGTCGGAGGCTTGCTTGGAAAAGCATGCCATAAGGCTGATCGGTTGCGGGCTCTGCCACGATGGAAACATAAACCTCGGATCTGGATCACCGCTGTACCGTTTGATCCTTCTTTCACTTCTCGGTGTTAGAAGTGAGAGGTATATTAGGTGGTCTTGCTGAGGCACCCTTTTTTTTTTGGACCAATTGACCTAGTTGCATATTGAAACCCTACCCCACCATAGGGGTGTTTGGGCTCTCACTTGCTTGATACGTGCTTTTAGAGAGTGAAACTCTGCAGGAATGTATGTATCAGTTGCAAGTCTGGGAATCAGTTTGAGGATATCAGTTTTGGGGCAGAAATTTGGGCATAAATCAGTGTTTGAGTACAGCCGTCTAGCTTATGATTTCAATTGTGTGTTGTCTCTACCTAAGCCGAGGTGCTGTACGTTTTTTTGATTTTTGTTTCTTTTGCTTTATTTCTTTTTGCAAGGTAGTATTTCACAATTACTTCAGACGAGGTAGTTAACCCCTAAGCACTCTGGACCAGAGTAAGGCGGCTTTATCAATCTAGGGATCATGTGAGAGAACAACCAGTGTTTACTTTGCTACCCCCGGTTACAAGACGGAGGAG